GGGGGGGGTGGGGGATTAAGTGATTACCTGAATGTATCTATGTCCAACATAATAAACATTGGGTACTGGCACACATTTGTGGTTCACAAATAATTATTTTGGCTCTAAGAGCAAATAACCATCATAATGTGACTTTAATCTAGCAATTTATCAACATTAGCATATGCATATGTTGATTATTTATTGGACAGTATCCAGTAGTGAATGTGTTATAGTGCTAATTAGCTGCTAGTCCTAATCTTAAGCAATGTGGTAATTACTGCATACAATAAATGTCAATCCTGTGCTAGTTGGTGTCTCTTGTTTGTAGTATTTCTCTTTTAATGATTTCAGATAGACCTCAGGGTGGTGATCCTTAGCACAAGCGTAGAGATCTGGCTGAGAATAAGATTGTCACACTTTTTAAAGTGAAAAAAGAGATAGGCAGGATGCAATTTCAGCTGCATAGCTTCAGCTTCATACACATACATACTTGGCAAAGCCAAGCAAATGATAAGGTCTTTGTATAATGTGTAATATAACTAGCCATTAAAAGTGGATCCCAAAGAGGTGATAGAAGGATGTATATTAATTGAAGAACTGATCTACCTTTGGAATATATAATGGGCTAAGGTGTTCAGACTGCATCACTCCACTACAATACAGGAAAAAGCAGCCATGAAGTCCTTAATGATCTAAGATATGCTTTTATGGTATATTTCAATTTAATATTAAGGGATATTTCACAAATGGGTGATCCATAGGTAAGAAGAGCTTCAGGATCAGTCTATTATTTGTAACACATTGGCCAAAGCAATCCATCCAGGAAGATTACAAGCAGAATATAAACTGGGGAACAAATTGATAGAGAAAAAGATCCAGCCTTTTCTTGCCAGACACGTGGTGACTCCATCCCTAATTTGATCATCTCTCTCTTTTTTTAATAAAGTTTTATTTGGGTTTTCACACAGAAAATACAAGTAAAACATCTTTTTTAAAAATAGCATGGTCCCGGGTTGAATTTCTTTATACAGACACAAAAATCAATTTCATGCTCCTTTTTGTGTTCTATTCCATATCTTATACTATTCTACATTTTCTATATAGTTTTTCCCCTCTTTTAATTTTCTCAATTTTATTTTGATTATCTCATCTCAATTCAAATCATTATACTTTTGTCTGTTCTG